ACTGCCCTCAGTGCACTAAGCTTTGCATGCCACCCTAACCACACTCCCCACAGATGGCGCCCAACATGCAAGCCCAGGGCAAGCCGACTGGACAAGGGCCTGTGTTCCCGTGGCCGCTGGTGAAAGAAAACACACGGCCGCTGCGTGGCTCCTGGCTCCTGGTGACCCTGCGGCTCGGGGGTGGATGGCCCCATAGTGTTCCCAAGGCTGACACCGTCATGGAAACGCTGCCTCTTCGTGGGTCTCACCTGTGGATCTTACTGTGGATCTCACCTGTGGGCCTCACGTAGATCTCACCTGTGGGTCTCACTGTGGGCCTCATGTAGGTCTCACTGTGGGTCTCACCTGTGTGTGGGTCTTCTAGGAAGGCAGGCAGTGGTGACTTGGTAACACTCTTTGGGGCTGTGTCCTTGGAGAGCCCATGAAAGATGCAAGGTGTCCTGGGTTGAGGGCCGGTGCCGCTGGTGGAATGAGTTGGAACAGTGTCCTGAGCTTGGCCGCAGGCCATCAGGAGTGTGAACAGCGTCAGTGCACCACACCTGAGATGTCGGCTTAGCACTTCTCTTGGTCACAAGCCTTCTACTTTGTCACCATGATGTCTTTCTCCAGGATTTTGTGCCTCCTGATAAAGTGTGAAAGTCCATGACAGGAATTCTCAGCATTCACGTCTGAGGCATGAGTATTCGGGCCGCTCAGAATAGACACGAAGTGTTCTTCTGACAGGCTACGTTGTGTTCAATGTTTCCGCCAACACCATAATTCAATGCATCAGAAGAGAGGTAGAAATGATGATGTTTATAATCCAACGTAAATGTTGGCGGTTAACGGACGTGAAGTGTCCTGGAGCCAGGCGTGGAAGTCAAATGTGCTACTCACATCTGGCACGCGTTCCCAGGAGCTGCTGTGACTTCGTGGTTCCAAAAGACACACATTTCGTGTCTGACAGTTCCTGCCTCGGGGGCGGGGGGGTTGGATGAAGGGCCAGCATGCCTGGGCTCCGTCTGCTGGCCTGAGGGCAGAGTCCCTTCGGATCTTGACCAGTTTCTTATGGCCAGCAATGTGGCTTGACCTTCCTCCACCTTCAGTGCCAAAATCACAAAAGGAAGAACCCCAACTGGAAACAACCACCCCGAACCTACCACCACTGAGTGGAGTCCACCTCCCAGTGATCCCCTGGGCTCCTGAGGCCTCGCTCACACAGAGCTATGGCCCCCACTGGGTTTCTGAGGCTGTAACCTGTGTGTGGGCAGACCGTCTCTCACTCACACAGAGCTACTAGTGGGCTCAAACCACCAACCTTCAGTGAGCAGCCTAACACGCAGTGCACTGCACACCAAGGCTCCTCAGGCCAACGGTGTGTGGCCGTCCAGTGCACCTGCCTCTCTGCTTCTGTCCTCGTGGGTCTCCTCTGCCTCTAACCCTCCCGTGTCTCTTGCAGGATTCTCGTGATAAGGGCTGAGCCAGTCTGGGTAATTCAACACCTCTCATCGCGAATTTTTCACTTAGCCACAGCTTCAAAGCTCCGTCTGCCACTTAACCACACTCAATGATTCCAGGGACTGAGACAGGTCCTTTTCGACCTCCTTTAAAGTGTTAGAGAGCAAATACAACCAGGGAAATGCCATTTTACAAATCTTGAGATTTACAATTGATATTTTCCGTGAAATTAATAAAGATCTCACTTGTACATGGGGAAAAAAAAGTGTTAGAGAGCAATGTTGTCAGTTTAAAGACTAAGATGTGCCTGGCCTAAGCCAATGTCTTTTTAATTGCTTCATATGCATGTGTAAGTTGGATGACAAATCAGGAATATTGAACATAAATACTGATGAAACCATGAACTTCCAGAAGAACAAGCAAGTCTGTCTTGGAAAAATGTTCCCAGGTTGTTTCTTGGACATAACGATTGTGACTGTCCCACTCACTACTCCGGGCCTGTCATCACCAGGGTCCAGACCCTGGAGGAGGACAAGTGCTTGGAAACGCACCACAAAGGGACACAGTTTGAATCGAGCAGCTGCTTCTGAGGAGAAAGGCGAGCCGTCTCTGCCCACGTGACTCACTGCCTCAGAGAGTCGGCTGGGCTCAGCTAAGCGTCAGCTCCAGCTCACGGCGTGTACCGGCAATAATCCAGCAACAGCATGAACAACGATCTGAACCTTGCCCTGTTCTGCGCCCGCCTCATCGTCTGGGAGACGCTCGCGGCCACTGTCCACTCTTACGGCCACTGTGTCTCTCCGTCCTGTGGAGGCCCTTCCCCTCTTCCTCTGACCTTCCACTTTTCCCGCACGATGTTTGCAAGGATGTGCCCCTGCTAAGAGCAGGTTCTCTGAACGAGCACTGAGTGAGCTAACTTAGGTGCATGAGGACAAATACTGTATGAGAGCCGTAGTGTGAAAACAGAAGGATGACCAGTAAGATATGTATGAATATCCAAAGAGGGAAGGGAAATGACAGTGGGGACAAGGGTAGGAACAAGGAGGTGGGGCGACTCACGGGGTTCGGTTGCTAGAAGGAGGGGGTGGAAAAAAAAACCACAAACAACACCCAATGTACAAATTAAATTATTGTATGCAAACCAATATTTTTTTTAAAAAAGGCAATTAAAAAAGAGCTTCCCTAAAACAAATTAAAAATGACAACAAACTCTACATGGTTTAAAATTAAGAAGGGAGTGCATCAGGGTTATATTCTCTCTCCACTTCTATTCAATCTGTATGCTGAGCAAATTATTCAAGAAGCCAGACTCTAGAAAGAGGAATGTGGTATCCGGATTGAAGGGCGCTCCATCAGTAACTGGTGTTATGCACATGACACAACTTTTCATCCTGAAAGTAAGGAGGACTTGAAGTGCTTGTTACAGAAGATAAAATACTGCAGCCTTCAAAATGGATTGTATCTCAGCGTCAAGAAAACTATGATTCTTACCACTGGACCAATAGGCAACATCATGAGGGATGGAGAAGAGATTGAAACTGTCAACAGCTTCATCTTGCTTGGATCCACAATTAAGACCCTTGGTGCCAGCAGTTAGGAAATAAGGAGATGTATTCCACTGTGAGACATCTATGACTCGATGGCACTTAACAACAACAACAAGCAACAGTTAAGGTTCCAGTCCTTGGGAAATGACATCATGCTGAGATAAGAAGGTCAGAGAAGAGCATCCTCGACACGATAGACTGATATGGTGACTGTAGCAACGGACTCGAGCATGTCTTGGATTGTGGGGATGGCATCGGTTGGGGCAAGGGTTAGATCTGTTGTTCATAGAACTGCTGTGAGTTATAGAACTCTGTTGGCCTAGTGGATAGAAAGTGATGCTACCAAGCCAAAGGTGGGTGATTTTAATCTGTGTTCCTCAGGCCTGGTTTTAATTGTTTTTGGTCAAACATTCTTCTAAGTGGTATAGCACTGCTCTGTCCATTTGCTGTACAGAGGTAGCTCGTGGTTGCTGTGATGCTAAACACTGTGACACTGATGTGTCATATGTGATAATGGTCACCCATGGTGGACAGTGTTTGGTGGAGCTCCCTGATTAAAACAAGCTTGGAAGCAGGAGTAGCATCCATTTCTAAAATAGCTTGCCTCCGACAACTCTATGAACTTTGAGAAACGATGAAAGTTATACAAGTGTTCGGGTCTTTCATTCATAGGGTCACTGTGGATCATCTACGGCTCAACAGCACTTAACAACAACAACATTCCACTGTGAAAGGCTGCAGTTAGGGACCTCTCCAAATTATTGAGGAGTGAGAATATCAGTGTGAGAACTAAGGTGCCCCTGATTCAGACCATGGTCTTTTAAAGTCACTTGCTATGCATCTGAGAGCAGGACAATGAAGAAGAATTGATGCCTTTGAGCTGCGGTGCCGAACATCCCATGGACACCCAAGAGAACAAGCATGTCTTGGAGAGGGTGCAGCCGAGTGCTCTTTGGAGGCGAGAATGACGAGGCTTCTTCACCTCACATACTTTGGGCAGGTTGCGAGGAGGGGCTGTTCCTTGGAGAAGGACATGATGTTTGAAAGGGTGGAGGGTCGGTGAAGGAGAGGAAGACTCTCAACCAGGTGGACTGACATGGTGACTGCCACAATGGGCTCCAAGTGTGAGGATGGCAGGACAGGAGAGGGTTCAGATCTGCTGTTCACAGTGTCGCTATGAATGGTACTCAACTTGATGACAGCTAGTAACAACAATAGCAAAAGAAATGAGAAGGAAAAAAAACCCAAACAACCTTAAAAATAAGAAAGAAATAGAAACTCTGGTCAGTTTGCTTCTGGTCCCTTCTCTGGCTGAGGACCGCATCCAGAGTTCGTAGCCACATCACCTCTGGGCGTTTCTTGGCCCTCATCCCACCTCCCTGGTCTGGGCCCGCAGGCCTTTTGTTCCAGCTCTCTGCAGACAGGAGCCTCAGCTGGGAGGCTCATGCTGAAACCAGATCTTCGTCCTGGGCTTGTTCCCTGCTTGGGCGGAGAGTAATTACACCGAGCTGCTGGGGAGATGGGAGAAATCCATCTCGAGTTGGGGCCCTGTTTTATCGCCTCCTAAATTTCCCACACCATAACTCAGTCCTTGCTAAGTGTAACATGGGCTAAGGCACTCAGCTCTCCAACACCAGGGCAGCAAATCAAGTGCAGGCCCCCGGCAGAGAGGACTTCTCTTTAGCAAAGCTCTATTTCTTCTTTTAGGAGCCACTCAGGTAAAACCGTGGGGCTACCTGAAAGGGTGCAGGAAGGTCTGGCTATCTCGCGCCATGACTGTTTCCTGTCAGTCACTGAAAACTAGTTTCTCTAGTTCTGGAGCTGCTGTTCTGAGTCAAGGTCACCAGGAGATGCTGTGCGAATAAACAACAAACCAGCTAGCCAAGGTCACCAGCTTCCCCACTGGCTGGCCCTGGTCCCCTCCACGCAGCCGAAACTCAGCTAGGTCCCCACTCAGGTTGTGACTTCACTACCCCAGCAGCTTGTCATGTGCCTTCATTGAAATGCTGTGTGAGTCTAGCTCTTGGGACACAGTGTGGCCGGTCGTTCACTGAGCTGCTCGCGGGAGGGATGGTAAGCCTGGCTGAAGGTAACAGCACAGAGGTGGCAGCACGTCTGCTGAGGGATGTCCAAGGAGGATGACGACGTCCCCTCCTGTCCAGCGCTAGGACACGCAGACACAGCGAACACAGGCACTGTGCAGAGGTGGACGGCAGTGCCACCCAGGGCCAGGCCTTCAGAGCACTGACCTTGTCACCTCCCTCAGCCTTACTGTGTCTCCTCTGGGTGACGAGGCATCTGATTAGTCTTTGTACAGGAGTAACTTGAAGAGAAATGTCCGACATGTTTCACCTCTGCTGTGTGAGAGGGTCTCCTGACTCGTAAAGCAATGTCCACCATGGAGTCAAGTGTGTCTTTCCAAAGAACCTGAGGACACACCAATGTCCATCCACTTTCTAAACAACACGCCTGCAGAAACTCTACGAGCTTTGATAAGTGTCAATAGTTGTAGAGGGGCTTCAGGACTTTTGTTCATGGGGTCTCGACTTGAAGGCAATCAACAGCATTACAATATTTAATTCATAGTAGAGAAAAGGTAGTTGTTGGTAGGTGCCCTCAAGTCGAGTACAACACGTAGTGACCCTGTGAAGAACAGCCCCGAACCCTGTCCTGTCCTGTCCTGTTCTGTCCTATGTCATCCTCACACTTTCGGACACACTCAAGCCCATTGCTGCAGTCGCGGTGACAATCCGCCTGGCTCACGGTGTCCTCTCCTTTGCCGACTCCAAGCATGATGTTCTTCTCCACGGAATAATCCCTCCTAGTGGAGGCAAAAGGTGGGTGACTTTTAACCCGTGGCCCTCAGGCCTGTCTTTCATTGTTTTTGTTCAGACATTCCTCTAGGTCGTATAGCCCTGGTGTACAAGTTGCCGTACAGCGGTCACTTGTGGTTGCTGTGAGGCTGAACACTGTGACACTGATGTGTCAAATGCATTAATGGTTGGCTACCCAACGCGGACTGAGAGTGGGGTGGAGCTCCCCGACTAAACAAGCGTGGAAGGAGGAGTGGCATCCACTTCCATAATAACTTGCCTCCGGAAACCCTATAAACCTGGAGAGAGGACGAAAGGCACCCAAGCGTCGAGGACTCTCCTTCACAGAGTCGCTATGAGTCACCTGCAACTTGACAGCAGGCACTTAACAACAACAGTGGAGGCAAACTATATATGTTATTAACATTTCACATTTGAACATCAACAGAGAAGTGAATCAACAAAATGTGAGTGGGGGAATGGGCTTCTCTAGGTGACCACCTGCCCTGGGTCTTTAAATCACAGCAGGTGAGACCAGCTCCCCAACCGTGAAGGCTGGATCTTTGGAGAAACAGCGAGGGGGGCCAGGCTGTTTGCTATCAGAGGATGTTTACTCCCTCAGAAAATTCTCACATTTGTGACATTTTCCGGATGATCTGCACACAATGTATAGACTGATAACCTTTTCCTTGGAACAAACAAGTTGAGCTAATTGACATTTCATGAATAACTGAAGTTTAGTGGATTCTGATCTTGCGGGGAGAGGGGAAGTCTGCCTTACAACCAGTGAAGACCGAGTTTTATGTATAACTGAAACACGGAGTTTTTAGAGGCCTCCTAGTTGAGAGATGTTGACTGAGAACTGGTCTAATAGGGAAAGAGCCGTGGGACAGCTGGTGGTCCTGACTCAGTTGCCCTGGCTGTAGGCTGAGCGAGGCCGATGGGCAGGAGGCCTGGAGGCCGAAAGAAGCTGAGGGATGATTCCTGGTGTGGAGCTATCCTGCCCTGAGGCAGGTGGGACGCAGCTGGGGGATGAGACCTGGTGCGAGCTACCCTGCGCTGAAGAAGGAGGGATACGATCTCCACCCTGGTGTCTCTCCCAGACCTTGTCTGTGTGCTTCTTGATCCTGAGTTGGTCCTGTTACTTGCAAATTGATCCTATTCCAAAACTGCAGCCTGTTACTTTCCTGTCCCACAGGCAACCTCACGGGAGAAGGAGAAAGGGGTGAAGCCGTCAAGGATTTCATCTTACTCGAATCCACAGTCAACACCCATCACGGTGGTGGCAGTGTTATCAGCACCCATGGTGGTGGTGGTGGTGGTGGTGGTGGCGGTGTTAGTTGCCCTTGAGTCTGCTGATACTCCCAGTGACCTGGTGAACACAAGATGGGAACCAGTCCTGTCCTGCACCACCCTGAGGGCCTCTCACGTGCTCAGTCTCAGAGCTAGAGACACTGGACGAATCCGTCTCTTTGAGGATCTCTCTATCTTTGACACATTGCCTTTCTCCAAGGATAATGGCCACCTGGCATGTCCAAAGTATGTGAGATGACATTGAACCATTGAAGGAGAACCCTGGTTGCACTTTGCCAACCAGACTTACTTACTTACTTTTTAACAATCCATGATATCTTCTAACATCCATCTTCCTTTGTCATTGTTCAACTTGAATTGAGTACAACCCATGCAGTAAAAAAATCAAAAGATGTGTTGTTGCATTGGAAAAATCAGCCACCAAGGTTCTCATCAAAGTGCTAAAGAGTAAGGTGGTTGTTGTTGTTGTTGATTGCCTTAGAGTCTAGCACGACTCATAGCGACCCTATGAACAAAAGGCCTGAAGCCCCTCTACAACTATCGACATTTATCAAAGTTCATAGGGTTTTCAGAGGCATGTTAATTAGGAACTGGATGCCACTTCTGCTTCCAAAAAGAGCAAGAATGTCAGTTTAAAGACTAAGGTGGGCCTGGTCCAAACCAGGATATTTTCAATTGTTTATATGCATTTGAAATTTACAATGGACCCTTGACAACTTCAATCGTTTCTCCATCTATCGTGATGTGTCCTATCATTCCAGTGGTCAGGAATTTTGTTTCCTTGAGGTTGAGATGTAATCCATATTGCACACTGTCATCTTCGATCTTATGCAGTTAGTAGTTTTAGTATTTTGGTTCTCCTGGACTTGGTTTCGTTTTCTTCACTTTCAGTTTGAACTTGCACAGAACTAATGTGTGGTCAGTTCTGAAGTGAGCCCTGGTTTGCTCTGACTGTTGATGCAGGGATTCTCCAGCAATTCTTTCCAGTTCAACCTGATTCCGATGGAGTGTATCAGGCGAGGTCCAGCAGCGTGTTGTCGTTGTCATTGTTAAGTGTCAGTAAGTCCACCGTGACTCACAGTGACCCTGTGAATAACAGATCTGAACCTTGCACCGTTCTATGGTCTCCGACATGCTTGAGTGCACTGTTGCAGATGCTGTGTCCATCCACCTCACCGAGGGCCTCCATGTCTTCCTCTGACGCTCTGCCATTGCCGGCATAATGTCTTTTCCAGGGACTTGCCCCCCTTGACAAAGCGTCTAAAGCTTGGGAGAAATGTCACCATCTTTGCTTCTAAGGAGCAAACTGGTTGCAATTTTTCCAAGATAGACTTGTTGACTCTTTGGTAATCCAAAAGATACTCCGTCCTCTAAAACACCACAATTCCAAAGTGCCAATTCTTCTTCTGTCCAACGTTCAGATGCGTAACAGGTAATTGAAAAGGCCATGCCTGGAACCCAGTGTGGCCTCATCTTTAAACGGCACTATTGCTCTCCAGCTCTTTGGAGAGGTCCTTGAGAGTAGATTTTCCCAGATGAGTTGTGGGAGGATATCAAGGGTAGAAGAGTGCAAATAGTCATTACAAAGATGGAAGAGGACGAGAAGACCAAAATGGATATCAGAAGGGACTCTGAAAATTGCACTGGAGCGCAGAGAAGCCAAAGCAGAAGGAAGAATTCAAGATACTGAAGAGTTGAATAGAAGATTTCAAAGGCAGCACAGGATGACAAAGTAAAATATTACAATGAAATGTGCAAAGACTTGGAGTCAGAAAAATCAAAAG